TATATGACAATGTATATACATATATATATATAAGCTCTGCCATAAATGAAACATGTGAGTACATTTTGCTCAGTCAAGGCAGGTGGAAAGTGTTGATATATGATATCCTTATGAAAAAGGCTTAATTAACACCTATGACACATATTGCAATAAATGAAAATTCTATTCTATAATTTACGCACACATAGCAATTCCAATGGTCATATAATCGTCTCGGGACTCCAGCGTTGAGACTTTATGAAGGAGATCGAATCCACAGATTGAAGGTCCAATAATTATGTGTCGGTCAACTTTGGAGTGACCAGTTTCAGTCCAGTTCTTCTTGAAAAGCATCAGCAAAACAAATAATGACAGACACCATACACTTGACAATAGTTAATTAAAGTGTGCAACCCGCCAGAATAAAATGAAAAGATGATATAAATTATAGATCTATGTATCTAACTCTTTCTTCGTTGAGCAAATCTTTTCTTATCATCTGCACTCAGTTTTACATTGATGTGAACCCAACGTACATTGGAAAATGTGTCAGGCTATAAAGGAAGAGGAAGGCCACGCAGAAGGTGGATCGAGGGTGTCAAGGAAACCCTAAGAAAACGTAACATCACATCTGAAAGAGCTGAGCTGGCCTACCATAGAAAACTGCATCTCCCTTCGACGCTTAACGACAACAGAGGATGAAAAAGTAAAAAGTAAAGTAAAGTAAGTGAACCCAAAGTACATTGGAAAATGTTGGGGATGGGGGGAGGGGACGGGGAGATATTTTATGCTTCATGAGTATATATATCAACCCAACACCTAAAAAATCTAAGCAGAATTTAAACAAGCTGTTTTCTTTCAAAGATTTTCCTTCTTTCACGTTTCGAAAACTCTAGATTAGTAAAGGCTGGTGTGTGTAATGTAGGCCTATAGAGCGTCTTCATTTTTAAGCACATATATTATATTTGAAAGAGTTCGTTTTGTCGTTGTCTCAGGCTCCGTAAAAACCCCAGAGGGTAATGCAAACCTCTAAAAGTGGACAGACACGCTTCCAGGTACCTGGCATTTTCAAGACGTCTGCTTAGTCACGTGACCCATTGTGCTCCGAACATTGGCTCATTGGGTGAACACTGAACTATCCATCTCTCCCCTTTTTTTTGCTAGAGTTTCAACAGAGCTTCGTAATATGCCTAATGGTTCAAATCAAAATGGTCCTGGCCTGGAACAGCAGGTAATTTTCGTTTCTCTGAAACATTTGTGTCTGAATTAATACATGTATCCCACGACAGTTTGCTGAAATTCCCCAAACGGGTTCTGCTTTTGAGGTTGTGTACAAATTCAACATGGCCGACGATCATTCATCGTGGTCGTGATCGAAGACTAATTGCGGCTCACAAAGAAACGTGTGCTTTCCTACGATTAGCCTACTCTAATACGTTTAGCTTAGAGTTCTGAATTTTTTGTGTGGTTTGCAGTTTCTCAAATGAATCTCTATAATCATTACCCAAGCTCCCGTGCTTGCCATTCATATTCTATTTTAGGTCTGGTCTAGACTAGAGAATCATGCCAAGCTTGGCGAGTCGAATGGGAGTGTGAGAGAGAACTGACAGTCGATCTACCCTACACGACCATTATAGTCTGGCTCCATTATTATAGTCTAGAATCTAGATCTAGTGATAGTGCTGAAAACTGATAAATAGGGGCATCAATTATCAGTTATTTGCTCAATGAGGAACAGTGCTAGATCTAGATACTGTCCTTTGTCGTGCAGGCTTCCAGAGTAAAATCACCGGTTCGGTCAAAATTAGGACGAAAACAGGCACGTCGACTTAAAAGCTTTATATCTCCTATCTGCCTTGCCCTAGAGACAAACTGAAACCAGCTACAGGAAGCCCTGTGATTGGATGACCCTAGGATTGTACTGTTTCAGCTTGTTGGCATATTTGAGGCCCTTGGCCTTACTGGGCTGGGTGCGAAAGTGACACCAGATTTATTTACGTCTTCAGTCACATTTTTTTGGTTTTCTCATGGATTCGGGCAGTATTTTGACATTTGGTCATTTTCAATTATTATCACATTTGTTTCTTTGCAAGCTTAATAACATGATTTTTAATGCTTGTTTTCAACACTTGGACACAATCATGATAGTTTGTCTAAAAAAGTGGTTTTCACAATTTGTAGCTATTTTAATGAGTATGTATCTGACCCACTCTACTACGTGGTATCTGACTCTACTACACTGGCATCTGGCTCACTCAACTACACTGGTATCTGACTCTGCTACACTGGTATCTGACTGAATTACACACTGGTATCTGACTCTGCTACACTGGCACTGGTATCTGACTGAATTACACACTGGTATCTGACTCTACTACACTGGTGTCTGACTGGGCTAATATGCTGTATCTGACTCTACTATTATGCACAAATTCTTGATTCTTTATTATTAGGGACTATATTATCTTATGTGCCCGAAGGATGAGAAACTACTGACTACTTTATGTTACAATCGGGCACACACGCACACACACACCCTCCCTTTGTTGGGTAAAAACGGCGAGACTGAACTGCAAATTCTCTTTCACCCTTGATATGGCTTCATATAATAGGGAGTGTATACAGACCCGGTAACCAGGAACAAAGTCACAAAGTATACAGACCTGGTAGGCGAACTCTTTTGTGATTTCGGAAAGTTTCAGCACCCTCTTGGCTCAGGGTAGACCTAGATCTAGGTTCTTCTAGATCTATGGCCTAGGTCTTGATCTAGACAGACAGACATAAATCATTGATCTAGTTTCGAGGTTAGGGTAAATTTTACTTTCACTCCCGCACACAGATGCACTGTTTCAGGGGTCAAACTGCTGTACTGTTTGCTGCAGATCACACATAAAGCCACTAAAACTGTCGCAAATCAATTTAGAATTATTTTCAAGACAATTTCAAATCTAAATGTAAAATATCAAATTATGGGTAAAAACAGGGGGGCATGCCCCCCTGTAACCCCCCAGATTTTCTTTTACCCCAGTGGGGCAGGCCCCCCTGGAACCCCCAATTGGTCCAAAGCATGTCTATCTTGGTTAAGTTAAAAACAATCAAATATTTCAAAAACTTAATTTGCGACGGAAATGAAGTTGATATTCGTGTTCAGCGCATCAATATTTAGTGGAAAATAGACAACTGGTAGCTGAGTGTGAGACGGGAGGGAAAGTAAAAAAATACCGAGGTTAGCCTAGAGAATCTAGATCTAGATCTATTTGGAGTTGGAGAAATCACAATTTGAAGAAAAGAACAATGTCATAATTTCAATCGAGCAGTCTCTCTCTCTCTCTCTCTCTCTCTCTCTCTCTCTCTCTCTCTCTCTCTCTCCTCTGTCTCTGTGTATCGCTCGCATTCTCTTTTCCTTTGTTTGTCTCAGTCTGTCTTTCTTCTCCCCACCTATTTCCCACTCTTATCTTTCTCTCGTTCCCTCCTGTAAACTGGGGCATGTCATATGCATTTTGCTAGCATTTCCCTATTCTCTCTCTCTCTCTCTCTCACACACACACACATACACACTCACACTACCGGGTCTGGGCGCTGAAACTTTCCGACATAACAAAAGAGTTCCCCTACCGGGTCTGTATACTTTGTGATTTTGTTCCCGGTTACCGGGTCTGTATAGTACACTTCGATGTAAATAACTCTTCTGCTTTCAGAGTTTACCAAAACGTAGAATCTCTAGGCCACAGGCTCCTTCATCCACAACCAATGTTAACTCTTCCGGGGGAAGAGCTTCACGCTGTTTTACTCAGTTGATGAAGAAAAAGCTGTCTTAAGGACTATTTTTAGCAAAATGTCGCCGTAACTGTTGTTTCAACGAAAGTAAGGGAGGTTACTTTAGGTTTGTGTGCCACTCTTTTGGGGCTAGATTTAAAAACAAAGTTTTAAACAATTTTTTTGTACTCCAGTGCCCGAAAACTTTTTAAAAATCTGCTGCCCGACCCGGTACGATTACTCTAACATTGGGTTAACTTTTCAGGCAAACTTCCAGTTGTGCACATTTTTTACTTTGATTTGCTGGACTTTGGGGTACATTTTGTTACTAAATCTAGATTCCACTTAAGAATGTGGGTTCCGTATGTTTAGACTTGGCATCATCCACACTGAGTAGGCCTACCGGATATAGTCATGGATACAGTGGGTGTCCTCTACGCAGAGCGGTGGGGGCGGGGCTAAAGTACAGTCAGAACGCTAAGCCGCCCCCGGCGGCTCGAGAACCGATCTTCAATTTTAGCTTAGATTCTATTTCAATCCACCCATGTTAAAATAAAGGTCATAATATAATGTTGACTTCAGGGTCAAGTGTTTCCACAGAAAATCGGAAGTTTTGATTCAGTTTTGAAACCCGATTTCGAAGTTTAGGTGACTTTATTTTATTGCGATGCTCAAATTATAGCCCAGATGCCAGTCTTACTGCTTTTACTCAACAAAATATATCTTTATTTTGCACACTAAAGAAATGTACGACTGTTTTTTAGAATATTGATACAATTGGGCTCAAATTGCCATTGCTCTGTTATTTAGAAATCAATATTTTTCAGTGCTAGAATTGTCAAATTACTTTTTCTCCCAAAAATCACTATTTTTTGTGAAATTAAACAAAAAGTACCACTCAGGACATGTGTATGTTTACTCCAAATACAAATCTGAATAATTCCATATACGATATTAGTGGTTTTTTCTGTTTGTGAATGCATCTTGTCAATTTTTCAAGATTATTAAAAAAAAAAATTTTTTTCAGTATTGGATGCCATGATCCAAATGTGCAAATTTTATGGAATGTATAAAAAATAACTGCAAATTTTTCAACATTTTCCAGTTCTATATTCATTTATGGTTATTTTGATGTTTCAATTGACAAGGTGCAAACTTATTTTTTTGAGTTTCACAGTTTTTATTTTCAAATTTTATCCGCATCCAAGAAAAATTGTGTTGCATAATCGCCTCTTACAGGAACCAAAGTTGAAAAATACACAAATAAACATTACAGATATATTCTACAAACCATACTGAAAATTTTGGTGCATAATATGTTAATATTTATTTGAATTTGTGGCCCCAAAGACTTTTGAACTGCACACTAGTCATCATTTCATTTCGCCTTCCCGAAAAAAAATTGGTCCACAAGCCGAAAATAATACGTAGCGAATAAGTTAAATATTCAGTATCAGTGTTTTGTCAGTAGGCCTAGATCTAGCCAAGGCTACAAAATGAGCAGTAAAATTTCACATGTTTTTAACAAGCAAGGGGAGGTTCATGATTGCATGCCCCCTGAATTTGACCAGAATTTGATGTTTTGCAATCAGGTTTTATAGGCTATCTCTCCATATCGGCACACGAATCAAGAAGTAATCGTCGGTGGGGTAAAAATTAGTATCCCCAAACAGGACCCATATTCTTAACCATCTGTGTGCGCATCACGACCGGTCGTGATGACTCATACCTCCCTTCCGCGCGCATTGCAACCACCGGTCAACATTTTTCAGTAATATCCACTCAGAAGTGTGTTCTGTAAAGGGCATGAAAGGTGAGCCAAAAAACAAAGTTCAATAAAAAAAAATTCCCATACCTGCAGAAAAATGCCAGTTTCTTGACTTTCATTATTTTGACGAGTGCCTTATTTCACCACGTTGCCTCACGTTTGCTGCAGATCGCACATGAGCCACTAAAACTCGCAAATCAATTATTTTCAAGAAAATTTCAAATCTAACCGCAAAACATCAAATTTTAAGTTAAAGCAGGGGTTTTTTTTCTTATTCCCCTGAACTCCCCCCTCCTCCCATTGGTCCAAAGTGTAGAAATTACTACACAGTTAAATAATTAGGCTTAATGTGCATTATAAACCATCAAGTATGTTTTAAAGTTAAAGCTATTTGCTACGGAAATGAAGTCGATATTTGTGTTCAGCGCATCAATATGTTGTAGAAAATGGACACACAGCAGCTTAAGATGAAATGGAAGAGAAGGTAAAAGAATACCCTCTTTGGATGAAAGAGTTAAAATTTAAAATATTTGACTTATTTTTTAAATTTTATTTATTTATTTATTTATTTCAGTTTGCTGGTATGGACATAAATGGCCCTGGTCGCAATCAAAATTTTGACCAAGGGAACTTTGGTAAGTTTCATCCTTTCCATTGTTGATATTATCTTTATTAATCTTTTTCTCGTCTTGGTGAGAGAAGTTAAATGGATAATACACAGTATTTTTTTAAATTTTGGGTTACATATTATTTTGTTTGTTGATGCTGAGACTACTGGTTGAAATGTTTCAATGTAAATATTTTCCTCTAAGATAGATGGCTTTCACCTTTTCTTTTTCCTCAAGGGTGTGGATGCTAAATGAATAGAAAGTTCTTGACCCCATGTCCGAGCCGGTGAGGCTGGAAACCCTATTCGCAGACTATTGATTTAGAACTGGTAGCTACTCTTACGTGTTATTGGCAGTACTCTGCGCTGGTGGGTAGTATGAAATAGGCTCCTTTGAAATAAAGGGTTTTTTGGGTTTTTTACTGGGCTTTTTTTGACAGGAGTCAGATAACCTTGTGGAGGTTGTCGGCTACCAGTAGAACTGATAGTGTAACAGCAGGTAGATCTTATGATAATGATTGTTTCTGAAAAGTTTTTTGAACAAAACTTTTGTTGAACTATCAGGTGGTGGTCGCTATGTCCCTCCACACCTTAGGGGTGGGGGCATGCCCAATTTGAGCCAGCCCCCTCCAGGCCATCCCAATGCCAACTTACCACAAGAAAACTGGAGCAACTCTGGAGGCAGAGGCCCAATGCCCAGAGACGGAGGTCGCTGGTCAGGTGAGACTTGTTTACCTGCATAGGTCTTACGTTTTTTTCCCCCCAACTGTTGTTTTGACGACCTGGCTAGTGGCAGGGAGGGGGCTAGGGGTACTCCCAGTGTAAATTCTTTGAGCTAGCTATGGGTGAATATGTGTATGTGAGGTTCGCATTTTATGGAAGTTTCTTGGGGTTTGGGGGGGGGGGGGGGTTGGGTGTGTGCTGTAAGAACAAGGTTGGTCAACCAAGAAATTCACCTGAAGTCGGCAGGGTGCTAAACATTAAATGCTTGTTTCAGCTTCTTTTTTTTTTTTTCCTGACCTTTCCTGTCTTTACTTTTATTTACACTTCAAGTGATTTATCCGGTTTAGGGGTTTAAAAAGAAATATTTTTTCAAATTTAACTTTTTCCGGTCGTATTGGCAAGAGTCCGCACACCTTGTGGACGTATGGCCAATATATTGGCAATGATGGGGTGCCTCAGTTTTGTTTTGTTTCATATGATGTGTATTTTATGAGTACTTATTATTGTTATTAGAAAACTTGGAAAGGATGTAGGAAACAAATCCATCTAATTTCTCTTTGTCAAAGCATTAGTTTGATGAGTAGAATATAACTCAAACAAAAATTGGAATATTTTGAAATAAAAAGCTGTGTATTCAGAAATGTGTGGATCATGCTCTTGGCCTGTATCTGATTAGATAGCTATGCTGATTTGCTTTCACGTTTGGTGAGTGTACATTTTGGGTATAAATTTATTTTTCTCATCACCTCATTCCACCCATTCTAATCCTTCTTATGCCTGGTTATGTTCAAAATTAATCTTTGGTTTCATATTCATCATTCAATTTCCTTCAACTGGATATCGCATATTACCTTTTGAGCAATGACTATGCTTATATGAAGTTATTATTTTGTACATCACCTTCATAGTCAAATTGAGCCAAAAATTAATATCTAGACCACCACCCCACCCCAAAAAAAACAACTACCGGTGGCGGCTACGGAGGACGGAGACCGCAGCGGGGGCTATGGTGGTGACCAAGGAGGCAGCAGTGGTTCATAGACGTGGTTCTCTTCTTCTACTTCCATTATGTCACGCTGTTGCGCCCACATGGGCATGTAGTGTTTTGAGAGTTTCTCTGAAGGGCAAACTCTTTTCTCTAACAGGTAACGGCAGAGGTGGCAGCTACGGAGACCGCAGCGGGGGCTATGGTGGTGACCGAGGAGGCAGCGGTGGCGGGTACAACGACCGCGGCTCCTACAACAGCGACAGAGGCGGTAGCTACAACGACCGTGGCGGTTACGGCGGCAGAGGAGGCTATGGTGGAGGACGTGGGGGGTATGTGCAAGGCTTTGACTCTTTCAAACTGGTGGATCATTGATAGTTTTAATTTTTCATCCTATTTGTTTCTGTTGTTTTACCATTTGTGTTACAATGTGAGCTTTGGATTCTATTTTGTTGCATTGTTCCTTTGTTAATAGTACAAATTTTTTCATGTTTAGTACTTGACCATGTTTTGAATTGAGTGAAATCAATTACTTGAAGTAGGTTGTAAGTACAAATACTTTCCAGTCATTTGTAATTTGATTTTTGACTGCACAAATTGTTCTAATATTTTGAAAACTACAAAGTCAGAGTGCTTCTGTAATCTAAGAAGATGCTGTGCCACCCCACACTGAGCAGTGCTTCCAATTTGTTGACGTTTGGCTGTACTTTGCCAATTTATAAAACTTGAGGAAAATCCACCACGTCCTGCTCCATGTCGGCCTGGCCTTTTTTTTATGTGGTTTTCTGTGATTATTTTTTAAGATCAGCGCATGCGAGATCTCTTTTGAAATGGTTACAGACCTTCTTTCTACCCCTAACTTTGGACAATTTTGGTTTCTTGTGTAGTCTGGCATTGTGAAAAATGCTATTCCATTGACAAGGGAAGCGTGTTGATCAGCCTGCTGAATGGGAACTGGAGGCTGATCTAAGGAAGCAATTTAGGCATTCTAAGGAGATTCCCACTTCTGTAACATTGTGTTGTTGTTGTTATCGATCCAGCCAAAATTCTAACAAGACTTCAAATTCCAGTGGCGGTGGAAACAATTTGATTGAAAAGATCAAGTTCATTTGTTCAAATGTGAATTCTCGGTGATGAGTTAAAATAATTTATTAGTACTCGAAAGAAGTTACCAAAGCGGGTTTTAAGTTTAAAAATTGCTATGCTTATCTTTTTTTTGGCGGAGAGGTGTTAATGATTATGGAAGGGGGCGGGGGTATACAGCACCTATTCCTGGTGAAATTTTCCTTCTTTTAAAAAAAAACTTGCTATTGGAAGCACTGACAAAGACATATGTGTGCCATTGCATACTGCACTAACATGTATACAATACTAAAGATCACTTTTTGTTGTTTTTTGAGCAGCTATGACAGAGACGGCCGCGGCGGGTACGATAATCGAGGTGGTTACGATAGGCGTGGTGGAGGAAACCCGGGTGGCTATGGGCGTGGTGGGGGAGGATACCAGTATAATGACAGGTTGTTACTTTTGTACCTTTTTTTTTTGTAAACACACTCCCTTTTTTCTCTATACTCTTTGCATTTAGTAGTATATTTGTAGAAATAAATGGCTATATACTTATCTGGGACTCAATGAGGTGAAGACTAGTTGTGATGAGGTCTATGAATATATTGTCTTAGTGGGTTATTCTTTTAGTAAACCTCAGAACTTTTAGTGAGGCTTCTGGTTGTCTCGCTGTTCACTTGTGGGGGGTTTTTTTGGAGGGGGGTTGCCCATCCTTTCTGCTTGAATAGCTTAAAGTTTTGCTGACCTGTCTTCTTCTCAGACGTGGCAAGTGGAGCTACATCTTTGATTGACATTTGTTTCAGGCATCATCATTTACTTTCACTATTGTTAACCATTTGTAATTGGAACAATCTTGAAATAAATGCAAAGTCTGCTTAGTTAAACACGTTTTAGATGCTGACACAAGCATTGCAGAACCTCTGTGAAGCAGAATGGCAAGGGGTAGGGAAGAATTCTGTCTCAAGCTGGAGAGTAAAGGGAGATTTGGGGGGGGGGGGGGGGGGGGGTGCCCATTTTTTAAAATATTTATAGCATGGAGTTGCAATACTATTGTATTTCTTTTCCTTGATAGTAAGTGGTCAAGCCCTCCTCCCTGAGTTGTTTTTTTTTTCCCAGGGGGTAGGGGAGTCACTACGTGGGTGGTGGTGTCTCTCAGCTTCAACGGTGTCTGGGCACAGTGTATGATGAGATCACTTATTGTTTTGAGTCACGGTGAAGGGACACATGTTTCAGAACTTACGATTTTTTTATCCCTCCAAGTCTCATTTGCTGAGTATATAGGCCTCAAACGCGTTGCGTTGGTGCTTTGACCGTAACCATAATTGCACCAGTCTCTTTTTCTCCTCTTTTTATAATTTTTTTAGATCTGTTGGTTTCAGTGCAACAGAATTCTGCATGTTTGGGGCAGGAAAAACGCCGACATTAAAATAGAATTTTAAAAGAAATTCTGATTCAATTGAAACAGAAGTAGAAAGAAGGAGTGCAACCAGCATTGGATGTCTGGTCCAGACTCTTGAGCTGTGCGTTGGGAATAAAGGATAGAGAGAGGGGGTCTGTGTATGTGGTTCTAGGTCCAGACTAACACCTTTAACTTTGTTTGACACAATCATGTGAAGAACTAAATCCAAACCTAAGGATTTGACTTTATGGTCAAGGGTAGATCTCGCTTTCACCAGAAGAAAAGTTGTTTTTAAAAAACGTGCACGGAAAAATGTCCCTATCCTAAGAATGACTGTCTGAAAAAAGGTAGTATGCTATATATTGTAGTTAACATTTCAGAAATGTACACTTTCGGTAAGGAAAATGGTTGCCTTCGCATTCTTCATGGGTCCGAATTTCTTTAGTCTAGCCGGTTTCAAAATAAATTTAAAAAATAGATATCAAAAGTGCATGCTTTCAACTATCAAAAAGACTTTTTCAGTTGATGAGGTCTGCAAAAAGCACATTTTTGTTTGTTTATTTATTATTTTTTTAAGCTTTCAGAAACTATATTCACAAGACTACAGATTTGATCTCACAGTATATATGCAGGTCCCATAATGGAATCGCATTTTAATTCCCTTACACCACAGTTTTTGAAGTAGAGATGCTTAGAGGGTTAAAGCTTATTGCTTGTGCTTTGTTGTTGATGCTTTTTGGTTCGAATTGATTTCATTTTATGTGTAATGCCAGGCTGACTTGGTTTAGGATGATTTTTGAAAAGTAACAAGCACATCTCTAGATAATTTGGAAGTGATGTATTGTATTTTGTGTATCTGTTGGTCTCAGTAGCACACTTTGTACCTGAGTGGGTGGTTGGCGGGTGCTCTGATGTGGTTTGTTTCTTTTTTCCTATCAAACATTTCGTCTTTATCTCCCCTCCTTCTTTTTTGTGTTTTGTCACTCTCTTGTAACACCTCTAATCATCGGCACTTATATAACCCTATTGTATTGCAAGTGCTGTAAAACACTTACTAAAACTCAAAACTTTATGTACCTGAAGCATAGTTTGTTTAAACTACAGGGTTCTTGGTATTGTCAAATTGTCATGATTTCCTTGTATTACAGAAATTGATGAGGCAGTATATTACAATTACAGTATGTCTTTACTGATCGATGTAGTTTAATATTTCTTGTTTCTCTTTTTAAAAACCCATAAAATTGTAGTCGTGGCAATGACCGCTGGAACCGACAAGGAAGTGCCCCACCCCCACCAGGAGGAGGCCGCTGGGATGGTCTTCTCGAGGACAGAGACCGCGAGCGACGCATGGGCGGCCAGGGATACAACCGCTGGGACAACCGCATGGACGGTGGCGGGGAAGACAACTCCAGACAGGAGGACTGGTCCATTCCCCTGCCTCGTAATGAGAGACTGGAACAGTGAGTCTTGTGGTCATGTCTGCGTCTGCTTCTTGGGCTTACCAGAGAAGTTCTGGGTTGCCCTCTTTCCATAACTTTGTAATGAGTGAAATGGCTGGTTATGGAAAAGTAAATTGTATCCCCTTAGTGTGTCATAATGCCTAACTAACATATAGAGAGAATAATGGGAGTGTTAGAAATTTTTTTTAATGTTCTATGTGTCTTTCCTTGCTCTCCTTCCCATCTGCATAATGTTCCTAGGAAGTTACAGAATTTTAGTCCTACCAGTAATCAGAAATAAATAGTGACAAGGATAGAGCAAAAGTAAGAAAGAACTATCAAGCTATTAAATGTATTGGGTGGAGTCTCAAAAACTTTTTTATCCTACAGAGACGAGCCTTGAACAGTGAAAGTTAAGCTGTAGGTTTTCACTGTTATACAAGAGCCCACACCCCATATTATAGTGATGAGCTTTGCCGTTTGTGTCAGGGGTACAAGTTTGCCGGCCGTGTGGCCGGAAATTCCGACAAGAGAAAGGCAGCCAGCGACGGCCGTCCTTGACTGGACTAGCGTCGATATCGTAAAGCACGTGTTTCTTTCATTAACCTGACAACTGTCTCTAAAAAGTCTGTATTTTTTCAACTCCGCCTCTCGAGTTCGAGCATAAATCAGCAGTAGGGGGGGTGATTCGATTATCTTGTTCAGGCAAGGCTCCTTGAGATGCTATGAGTTTGAAAAGTTTTCAGGCAAAATGGTTGTGACCAACTTAACTTTGACCCGTGGTTTGTGTTTTTGTCCTTCAGTGAACTGTTTGGTGGCGGTAATACAGGCATCAATTTTGACAAGTACGAGGACATCCCTGTGGAAGCCAGTGGGGACAGTGCTCCAGCAAACATTGAAAACGTAAGTTGTTCCCTCTCCTTCACTTTAATATTGTAAGTGGGTGTTTGGCGGGTGCTCTTGTTTGGTTTGCTTCTTCTTTCCTATCAAACATCTATCGTCCTTATCTCCCCTATTTTTTTATGTTTGTTACTCTCTTGTAACACCCCTAATCTTCTGGCGCTTCTATGACCTTATGCAGTTTCGAGCGCCGTAAAACTTCTACTAAAACTAAACTAAATATTGTAAGGGTATTTGTCTCGACAACCCTACTGATGGGTGGTTGGTGTGTGTTCTGGTGTGGTTTGCTCCTTCTTTCTGATCAAGCATTTATCGTCCTTATCGCCCCTCCTTCTACTTTGTGTTTGTTACTGTCTTGCAACACCTCTAATTTCAGCACTTATATGACCTTATTGTGCTGCAAAGTGCGGAAAAGTTTGTACTCAAACAATAAGACAACCCTACTGATGCTTATGGGTCCGCTGGTTGATGTGCTGTATTTGGACTTACTGTGGTACAGATGCAAATGTCTTCATTGCTTTCATTTTGTTCATAACAGCAGTGCTGAAGATCATTTTTACACAGGAAAACAAAACCTAGAATTCTCATTTAAGATACCCTTGTCGCAATGCATGTCAGAACTCTGTAATTTCTGGAAAATTGGCACCACCATTTAAAATTTATAAATTAATTTTCTTTTTTCACTCTGCAGATCCTGTTTGAGCAAGTTTTCTGCTAGCCCCTTGAATTGAAGGGAATGAAAAATAGGGAAAATATTTTAGCCTCTAATTTGCTTAGTCACTCTTGTTTGTGCAAGGTTTGACTTTGGCCTAATTTTTTATTTGATTTTTATGTACTATAGAAGGTATTAAAACTGTTATGAAAGTTGTTCACTGTCCTAATATTGCTTTCTTTTTGTGCTGTATAGTTTGAAGATTGCAGTCTGGGAGAGATTGTACGCAACAACATTGCTCTCAGCAAATATGCAAAACCAACTCCAGTCCAGAAATTTGCAATTCCCATCATCCTGGGTCAGCGAGATCTGATGGCTTGTGCTCAGACAGGTATGTCATTGTTGCGTGAATAGGTCTGGTGTTTTATTTTAGTTTTTTTTTAAAGTTAAATTTGCGGGTGCTCTGGTGTGGTCTGCTTCTTCTTTCCTATCAAACATCTATCGTCCTTATCTCCCCTTCTTCTTTTTTATGTTTGTTACTCTCTTGTAACACCTCTAATCTTCTGGCGCTCATATGACCTTGCAGTTGCAAGCGCCGTAAAATCTTTACTAAAACAAACAAACAATAAGTTATATTAATAAAATATTGTAAAATAAGGTAAAAATTTTAAAGGTAATGAGTATTGCTGACGGTGGGGGTGGGGTTGTGTGTATATTTTTGGTACTGAAAAGGTTGTATCTTTTTAATTTTTTAATTTATTATTGTTGTTAGGGGCTGCCAGGACCTAGAAGTTAGGGTGTTCAGCTCTCATTCAAAGGTCTCGGGGGGTTCGAATCCAGGTAGCGACCGAAAAATTTCCTTCTCTAGAATGGTCTCCTCTCGCCTCCTTTCGTGCTCTCTGGCAATGTTCTGTCATCTGCTTTCGTCTCCACTTTCTGCCCCTGCCCCCTCTTCTGGGCTCCCGACTCTTTCAGCCACACCCCTGATCTTCTGGTAGGAAAAATCTCGGAGGTCCCATGTGCAAGGTGTGCATGTTAAAGTAAAACACTTGCGCGCCCCCCGCCCCCCAAATGTTGTCCTGTTTATGGTTGTCATCTTGCTCTCTCCATGCTCTAAATGGTGGTTGTCACGTTTATGTGCTTCTTTTTACCCATACTAACGAAGTTTATAAACTGGCTATACAAATATACAAAAGATGTGTGTGGTTGTTTTGGGTGGGTCTTCTTGTGATTTCTAAAATTTATCTTGGGTTATTACAGGTTCCGGCAAAACTGCTGCTTTCCTGGTACCAATCCTGAACCAGATTTATACAATGGGACCTGGTGATGCTTCTAACCAGCCCGGAGGTCGCCAATACGGACGCAGGAAGATGTTCCCCTTGGCTCTGGTGCTGGCTCCGACTCGTGAGTTGGCATCACAGATCTACGACGAGGCGAGGAAGGTGAGACAAGCTTTGTTTTGTAGACTTCATCAATTTTACTTCCTGTCGGGGCCGTTGCAAAATTTGTTATGTTGGGCTTTTTTTCTTTTCTTTTTTTTTCCCCCTTCCTCCCAGTTATATCATTGTAACCTTTTGTTTCTTGCTCTTTCCTGTCTCTTTTTTCAGAGGGTCTATTTGAATTCTTTGTAAATACACCTCTTTCTTTCATCCTCTCCTCCCCCATGAATATTTGGGTGACAAAGTACGCTTCCGGGAGGCTGCAGTCTTTTGTGTTCATCATCATGAAGGTTTGTCTGTCTGTTTCTAATCCATTTGCCTTTCCATTTGTTGCCTCACTTTCATTGTGAAGGAAAGCAACAAGTGGTGCTGAAAGTAAGGTTAGTTAATTTTGTACCGACTTGCTGTCTATTGTTATGTCTTCGTGGGTGGTTTGCAGGTGCTCTGATGTGGTTTGCTCCTTCTTTCCTTTTTAAAAAATCTATCGTCTCTATCTCCCCTCCTTCTTTTTTGTGTTTGTTACTCTCTTGTAACACCTCTAATCTCGGCACTTGTTTGACCTTATTGTGGTGCAAGTGCCGTAATACACTTACTAAAGCAAGAATGTTATGCTTCCAGTTTGCCTATCGGTCTCGTGTGCGGCCCTGCGTGGTTTACGGAGGCGCTGACATTGGAGCCCAGATGCGTGATCTGGACAAGGGCTGTCACCTGCTGGTGGCCACGCCCGGACGTCTGGTGGACATGATGGAGCGGGGCAAGGTCGGCTTGGACCTTTGCAAGTGAGTACTGCATGTTGTGCTGTTCTGAAAGGGATAGAATCATTATTGGCATAGTGGAATTTCGCTTGTCTACAAAATGTAAATGTGTTCTCGACAGGTTGGAGGGGGCCACTGGTAGGTCCTACTTCCTTACATTCCCCCTGTTGTTCTGTCCGTTTGTCTGACTTTTTCCCAGCACTAAATATTGTGTTGATGTGCTTCTCTTTACTCAAACAAACAAAAGGAAGGACACTGGCTACAGTGCATGCTCCGCTTACTTTGTTGTTTGGCTAGCCCAAGGGCGTGAGCGTTGTTTTTTTAACTTGCGTACAAGTTTGTGGATCTTCATGAGAACCTTTGAAATTTTCAAACATAGAGGAAATTGACAATTGTTGGATATTTGTTCTGCAGATTCTTGGTCTTGGATGAGGCTGACAGAATGTTGGACATGGGTTTTGAACCTCAAATCAGGCGTATCGTAGAGAAAGACAACATGCCTCCCTGTGGAAAACGCCAGACCAATATGTTCTCAGCCACCTTCCCCAAAGAAATTCAGGTTTGTTTGAATTTGAATACTACTCATTGTAGATCAAATGGGGTTTGGGGGAGGGGGGGGGGGTGTTGACAAGAATGATTAAGGTGTTTGTGTTTGATATACTTGTGTCACATTCATTTGATGATGGTTTTCCCCACTCTTTCGCTACATGGATGTTTTCAACCCCCCCAAAAATGAAATGATCATCTTTTCTATTTGAAGTGAGGTGTTGGTAGGTACCACTTGTGTAACTTACTTATTCACTCTCTGTGTCATGTTTCTGTCATCTAATTTTTTACTTGAAGGAATTGCTATTGTTGTGTCGATGTGCTTCTCTCTACGACTCCTAAGGATCAAACAAGAACTATAAACTAGTGTGTTTGGTATTTCTCAGGTGCTTGCCAGAGACTTCTTGGACAACTACATCTTCCTGGCGGTGGGCCGCGTGGGCAGCACCAGTGAAAACATCACCCAGAAGGTGGTCTGGGTGGAGGAGCAGGAGAAGAGGTCCTTCCTGCTGGACTTGCTCAGCGCTGCCGGAGGTGGGTGAAAGAAACCGTACTTGTGTAGCAGCCGTGCTGTAGTGTGCGTGTTGCTGTGACCTTTTTTTTAAAGCTGTTTAGTAACTTTAGTTTGTCGGCTTTTCGTGGAAATAGTGCTAGAAATAAAGGTTGCAAACACGGATCATTACGTCTGGAAATTTACAGTTAGGTATATTATTATTCAGTTAGGCTTATTTGCACTAGAAGCTGGTAGAAAGCACTGGTAATGTTTCTCAATAGACAATTATCTGTGAGGTACGTTTGTTATCTTTGATTAGCTCAAAATTATATTTTGTTAGTCTTTCATGTACATTGGGGTGTAGTTTTTGTTGTGATGATGTATTTGATTAGTATTAGTGCTGTGATCCCTGTCAGTTCATGTAGTTGTAGTCTGACAGCTAGGCAGAATTATATTTTGTCTTCAAATGGTTTATCTTGGGCCACTGAGCAGCTTAGGATAGGAAATGTCAGGGAACAAGTGGTAATGTGCCCACTATGCCTTTTCTGACCTTGTCAGTGCTAAGAATTTTGTATTCAGGAGCTGGGCTTTCGATACGGAACAATAGAAAGGCCTCCAATATTTGTTGGGGTTTTTAAAAAAAAATGTTAATGTGTTGTGGAGTTGAGATTTGAGTTAGGATTGTTCTTGTTTCTTATTGGCATTGTATTTTTGCTTGCTATTATGTGGCGTCTGGACTCGAAAACATAATACATAGTGTTGTGTTCCATATGACATTTTGCAGTTGCGAGCGCAGTAAAACTCGTACTAAACTAATAATAATAATAGTTGTGTTCTAACTGGGCTTGGCCACGTTATGTGTGACCTGCTGTTTGGAGGCATCAGCCAACATACATGTCGCGACCTCAGTGCTTTCTTGTCCTGTATCCTTTTTTAATAACGGGTGTAAACATTTTATAACAAAGAGTGAGCTTCAGAAGAAGTCACATTTTCAATGTTGAAAAAAATGGAGACAGGACAAGACAGCACTGAGGTCGCGATGCAGACCCTGCCATGACTGTGTTAACCTCCAACCTAGTTCTTCCTCCTTGTCACACACAGGTGGTGGTGCTGGTGCCCCTAGTAAGAATTTCTTTTTTTTCCTTCAAACTCCTTTACGTTGCTTTTATATATTTAAAAAAATTTTTTTTTTTTTTTTTTTTTGGGCATAAATTTTTGCTTTTGTTTATTTATTTTTTGGCATTCTTTTGCTCCTCGGGCATTTGTGTTGCGTGGCTTGGAGCATTTTATTACCTGTTGGGGGTTTTCGTTGCAGTTTCTCGAAAAGGCACTTTGCTGGGGATGTCAATGTAGTTTTTATGGATGGGTTTTGTTTTTCACCAATTTGGTGCGGGGTGGGGGGACATAGTGAAGTGACTGTGCTTATTACTTTTTACTCACGCTTTTAGGAATTTCTATATTGTCCCTTACAAGAAAAGTTATATGTTTGGCGTTAGTTTTATAGTTTGATGAGGAGAGCTGGTAAAGAGCTTTGGTGTATTTGTGCACTTGCTGGTGATGGATCATAAACTTAATTTTTTGTTTGTTTGCTTGTTGAACAAAGCCATTGTAAATCCATTGGTAGTGATTACCATTGTAATGTATTTGCCTACAGTAGAGGTTTTTCTAGTCAAGTTAACTCTTGTCTTCATGTTTTTATTTGTTTGTTTTTGTTTGTTGTTGTTTTGTTGTTGTTTTTTTTGCTCGTTTAAAAAAAAATAATTTTAATACATATGACTTGTTTATACTTATAATTATTTTATTTCATCACGGTTTTTTTTTTACTTGGTTTATTTCTCCTATTATGTCCTATTGACCTTGGTTTGGCGCACTTTTGCTCGGTTGATGTCTTGCTGGGCTATGGTGCAGATGATATGGTTTCGAAACCCCGATGTAGTTGGGCTGTTTAGAGAGTCTTTCAGGCTCTTTGTCTATTTGGCTTGGTCCTGGCTGAGATGAATGTTACATGGTCGCTTTTAAGGACAAGTGGGCTAAACCAGATTTCTGGGGTTTTCCAGAAATCTTGACCTACACCAAAAGTGGGCATTGCTCCCTACGTATAGAGGTTTGGTTTCATTGGTGTGTATATTTGTTTGGTTATTTAGAAAACTCTCCCTATCTTTTCAAGAAACTGAACAAGGGTCCAAAGACTAACTTCGAATTTCTCAAACAGCATTTTTCGGGATAGCCCCCTTGTGTTTAAACTCGACCAAATATAGAGGTCCCGCCTTACATGACCATGTAGCATTGTAAAGGGCATATATCATTGGTTACACTAGTGTTCAATGGATTGTGTTGCATAAAATGGAAGTCTTGTGTCATAGTGTTCAGTGTCCCTGGACTTACTTATAAGCGTACCAAATTATGGTTATCTTTTGGATATAGCGTTATTGCCCATGACTCTTCCCACATTCTGGATAGTGTGTGATTGGCGGGTGCTCTGGTGTGGGTTGCTCCTTCTTTTCTTTTAAACATGTATTTCCCTCATTTCTCCTTCTTTTTTGTGTATGTTAATCTCTTGTAACACATCTAGTCTTCGCCACTTAAATGATCTTATTGTGTTGCACTTGCAACTTGCGCTGTGCTCCATTTATCGTATGCTTTACTTCATCATTGAACATTGTGGTCGCTGAAACACTTACTAAAACGGAAGCATTTGCCTTGTCTGTTCTCAGGTCCGGAGTCTCTGACCCTGGTGTTTGTGGAGACGAAGAAGGGCGCTGACGCTCTAGAGGACTTCCTCCTGAGGGAGAACTACCCAGCTACCAGTATCCACGGTGACCGCTCACAGCGAGAGCGAGAGGATGCTTTGCGCCTCTTCAAGTTTGGGGAACGGCCAGTGCTGGTGGCCACTGCGGTAGGTGGTTTGGGTTTTTGGGGGGGGTGTCTGTTGACTTTGTATAAAAACTGCCTGCTTGGAAGCTTTCTGGGAATGTCGGTCTTATTACTTACTGCCTTTGGCCCGTTGAGGAGCTGAGGCCTACCAACACAAACAAGCTCCAATTTCAGGCTTATTTGATCTGATGCATTCAGTTTGTTAGCAGTGACAATGAAAAATTAAATTTTTATCCAAATGTATTACAAATGGGCTTAAATGAAAATACAGTAAATTCTAAGAACTATGGTTTTTAAATTCCTCTGATTGGTTGCCGAGTTTAATTTATTTTCGTCCACAAGTTTTCCCGTAACTATACTTAAAAGAGTCAATTCTGATTCGGAGCGCCCCAAATATTACCCCTCGCGCGGAGGCCGATTTCCGGCCCTAGACGCAGCAGGCGATTACTAAGTTTGTACTTTTTCTGTGTTTCTTTTATTAGATTTAACAGGTTGTGGGTTCTTGGGCTTTACTCCATTTATCAAATGCTTCACTTGATCATTGAACATTGTGGTCACTGAAATGGGTTGACTGAATTTGTAACAAAGGTTTTTTTCGTGATCTTTTCCTTCTATTTCATATTCAGCATTGCACAATGTGGCCCGCATTGTATTACTGATAAAGTATATCTCGGTTTCAGAGGGTTTCTTCCCAACAATATGGTTCACGAGTGTTCTGGTGTGGTTTGCTCCTTCTTTCCTGTCAAACATCTATCATCCTTATCTCCCCTCCTTCTTTTGGGGGGTTTGTTACTTTCTTGTAACACCTCTAATCTTGGGCTGGTATATGACCTTATTGTGTTGCAAGTGCCATTAAACACTTTCTAAAACAAAACCTCCTGCAATGTAACATATGTTGTGTGTATTAGCTGTAAACTACAACTGCACCCCCGGGGCGGTGCTAATGACTGAAGTGTCTTTAGGCCTTTCCCAAAGGGGGGACGGTAACTATGTTCTTATTATGCACAGTAGAATTGTAATTGTAAATGGGCTGATTCATTAATGCCATGCTCATAACTGTGCCGGAACTGCTGCTTTTTCTTACTATTGTCTTTTTTCCTCTACTTCTTTTGTTTGTTTGTCACGCTCTTGTGACACGCTATTTCTTGGGTGCCTTGATAGTTGAAGCAGACTTTGTGCTGTTGAAGCTAGAGAGGTGAGCAGAGTAAGCCCGATTCCTTATAAGGGCTTCTTTGTAGACATCCACCCCTTGGCTCATATGACCTTGTGCAGTTGCGAGCGCAGTAAAACCTCAACTAAAACTAACTAAACACTTACTAAAACAAAACTTCCTGCAATGTGACATGTGTTGTGTGTGCTTGCTGTATACTACAACTGGAAAGATGTTCCCACTGGCTTATCTATTTTGGGTTGTTTTTTTTGGTTTTACACAGGTCGCTGCCCGAGGTCTGGACATCCCCAACGTGAGGCATGTCATCAACTTTGATCTCCCCAGTGACATCGAAGAGTACGTCCACCGTATTGGTCGTACAGGACGTGTGGGCAATCTAGGTAAGTAGTTTCTCCTTCTTGGCATTGTCAGACATCGTTGTCTCTTTGTCCATTGTGCCTGCATTTCGTGGCATGGACTGATTTAGTGTAAAAGTCTGTCATTCCTCACTTTTCACAATGGTGTATGGTGGAGACTTACAGTAAGCAGTCAACTTGTTTTTCTAAACCTTCTTTATTGACTAATACAAATGATCTGTTTGTGGTTGCGTCTAGGTCTGGCCACGTCTTTCTTCAACGACAAGAACAAGAACATTGTTCGTGACCTGCTGGACTTGCTGGGAGAGGCCAACCAAGAAGTGCCCGCCTGGCTGGAGTCTATGTCCATGGACGTACGCTCTATGGGAATGGGAGGTGGTCGTCGCGGTGGCGCCAGAAGGTGAGTGGACTCGTTTTTACTTGCCACCGTGGGTGGTTGGCGGGTGCTCTGGTGTGGTTTGCTTCTTGTTTCCTATCAAACATCTATCGTCCATATCTCTCCTTCTCTTTTGTTTGTTGCTCTCTTGTAACACCTCAAGTCTTGGGGCACTTTTATGACCTTATTGTGTTGCAAGTGCCGTAAAACACTTACTAAAACTAAACTACTTGCCACCCTTTTTTGTTTCAACCTTTGTGCTGTAGTATATGCACACTGCAAAGGGAGAAACAGTTGTGGTCACAATCTCTGTATCATTGAATTTTTGTCATAAGTACAGTGTATGTCCTTAGCTTCTGTAATAAGGTCTCAAAACTGACGGCAAATGGGTACTCGGTCTTGAGTTTGAAACTCTTTTTTGACAGAGGGCTCTATGGAAGAATTCAAACTTGTTTGTTTTTTATTGGGGGGTGGTGGTTCCACTTTACAATGTGATTTCCGTAAACCTGAAAATGTGACCAATGTCCGTCAGGGTGTTCAGAAGGGTATATTATTACTTGAGTAGTAGTTTTTTCTCTGCTTTCCTGCCTTTGAAAATGTATATAATATGAAATGAAATATAGGATGTTGCTCATTGGGAGCAAGGGGAAACGGAGATATGTTGCAAAAAGAGCTACCTAGCACTGGAAAGATGAGTGTGTTGACAACATTCTGCCTTTGGGAATGTCCGTTTTGATTGAAACTTTTGTCATGTATGTGTTTGGGAAAGATTTAGAATGCTCTAAGAAAGCTTAGAAATGTAATGAGATGTAAATGTGAATTAAGGAAGCATTGATATGTGATAAAAAGATTTGAATGTGAATGAAGGAAGCATAAGAACGTATTGGTCTCTTCTTCCAGGTTCGGAGGCAGTGGTTTTGGAGGTCGAGATTACCGTCAGAACAAGCCGTTGAAGACCAGCTTCAACCAGGGAGGTGGCGGAGGCGGCGGCGGCGGTGGCTTCAACGGCCAGCAGGCCTACAACAACCACTTCACCAACTACCCCCCGCCCCAGTACAACAACTACGGGGGCAGCTACGGCAACTCGTACAGCTCTGGATCTGCTAACGACTGGTGGGGTGGAAACTGAGCCAACTAGCTTTTTGATGTGAGGGAGGGTTGAGCCGTTCCTCTAGATGGAAGTGGAGTTGTTTTTTTTTTAATTGTCTTTTTATTCTCTTGGCCCATTTCCCCCCATGTGAGCCAGTGTTTCTTGGTTTATTATTGCTACTCAGGGTGTTGTGTATGGGAGAGAGCTGTGTTTTTTAAAGGTTTTTTTTTGTTGTTTTTTTTTTCACTCAACCAGTTCTCTCTGCCACCAGAGTTTTCTTATGTTTCTCACTTATCACTTTCCCCCGTTCCCCACCACTTCCCCTAGCTCAGTTAGTTAGTTCACTCGACTACTTCCCAGGGCGGCTCACACCCTCCAGCGCAAGGCCGGCTACAGTTTTGCGGTGCCGTCAGTTCCTGCTACTGTCTATCGTTGTTAGTCTGTAGTAGATTTGATTGTTCTTTTGTACACTTGTCTGAGGGGGAGCATACGGCACGGACCAGAGGTGTTGTAATACGAAGCTTTGTTCAAACTCTGATGTTATATAAGGGCTTTGCTTACTACTACAAATTTTGTTTCCAAATAAATCACTCATACACACACTCATTTGTGTGTTGTGTGATTTTTGTAAAGAATTTTTCCCCTCCCAAATTAAGAAGAAGACATGGCTATAAACTTAGCTGAAGTATCTACCCCATTCCATAGGTCAGATATATGGAGAAGGATTCAAGTCCTTTGAAAAGAGATGCTACACAATGTGGATGAATTGAGTCCTGAGCATCATGTTCACATTTTATAATGACACCATACTGTGCTCTATACAGCTGTGATAACTAACAAAACGAGTACCAGCAGTGATAGAGCCTTGCACTATTTGAGCTCGGTCATCAGATTTCCACTAGTAGTGGCCGGAGCTTATAACGTTGATTGATCGAATTTTCACGAGTGATCGTCCTACTTATTTAGTGAAGCAAGGCCAGTCCAAGTCTTTGATTTCTTCTTTTGGATTTGTTCAACATGCTGATGTTGTTTGGCCAAATATTTTGTGTGAATACATCGTCCTAGCCAGAGGCGTGACCAGAATTTTTGTCTTCATCTTTGACAAGGTGTTGAGTCCTAGCCTTGTGTTTTTTCCCCACTTGTGTCTTACTATACACAGATTCTCAAGTCATCCAGGGAAGGAAGCACATCGTCTTGTTTTGTCAGCAAGAAGGAAAATTTCAGAGCTCCGGAAACAAGCTAGTGAGCTCTTCTCCAAGAATATTGTAATGTCTCCGCGACGTTCCATAATGGGGGCCAGCCATGTTCAAGGCCATTGTACGTGTGCTGGTGTCCGACAGCTTGAGGTCACTCTATATGGCTCCCTCGTGGGGTTGTTGTATGGGCCCGCCAGTTCTCCTGTTGAGCCCTCTTCATTTTGGCTCATGTTGGGTTTTTTTTTATTTTAGGATTTTAAAGAATTCTTTTTTCACGCAGCAGGCTTGTTTTACCAGTTGACAGGAAGGTTACATTGGTTTTTATTGTTTTTAATCAGTGGTCCAACGGGAAAGATGCTTCATATTGTTTTATGTACTTAACTATGTGCCTTTTCTAGATATTTTTTTTTCTCTTAAAGAAGCTGAAGAAAATTGCTGTCTCCACGTCAGAAGTGACTGAAACGATTGTATGAGTATATAGTTAATGCTGCTCTGGCTCTCGGGTGGTGCTAGTGGAGAGGAGGAGTGTTGCGGTTAATGTGGTTCTGTCAGAGCTCTCAAGATTCCGAACAAGCTCAAACATGGGGAAGAAGAATTCCCACGTAATTTGGGAATGTAAAGAAGTATCAATCAATCTTCGCAACACGTGTCCTGAAATGTCGACGACAATCTCCGTGCTTTTTTGGCACAGTGGGCACCCACGTGATGCCTTGTCTTGAGATTTTCAGTAAGTGGAGTTTTCTGTCTCCCATCATGATATCATTTTATACTCCCCCTCACCCTTCAGTTTTATCCTTTCATTTCATAATTTATCCAAATGTTGGTTGTACTGTTGGGCTTGAAATATCCAGTAAATTGCATGGGCCTGCTGTTGTTTGGGAGGAGGGGGTGAGTGTGAAGTCTGTGGTCTGTAGTAAGAACATGGGAAGTACGGGAAGGAATTTCTCGAGTTTGAGCTGTGGACGTTTTTTGCTGGCTGAACATTGTGCTGTGATCAAATGGAAATGGAAATAGCTGAGATCTATGATGTAACGATCGGGGCGCAACTCTGGCACACACGGCCCTTCTACGTGTTCTGAGCATTGGATCAAACTCAAACCAGTCAGGGTGTTTGAAGTCAAGTTTCTCTATATTCTGTTCAAGACCTGTTTCTCCCCGACTTCATTTGCATATATTGCAAGGGCTCTCGGGGGTACTTGCTGCCCTTTTCACCGTTGCGGCGAGGCGTTGATGGGTTTGTTTTGTTGTAGAACAAAGTAAGATATACATTTTTGACTTCCATCCACGAGGAGGTCACTTTCCCAATGTGCACTGGTTCTATGGGAAGCAGTTTTATCTTGGGCCACTCTATCAAAATTGCATGTATCTGCAATATGAAAGGCAGCGACATACTTTTGTTTTTGTTTTGTTTTTTTCTTTGATTCGACAAAATTATTTTTTTCCTTCTGTAATTTTAGTGGCAAATGCTGACAATGTATATGAATGCAACTGAGCTGAGAATGCAGAAAGCTTTGCCCTGTGGACGTGCACCAATGTGACTGCTGCGTGTTTCTGGGAGTGTCTCCAGCTGTAGCAACAACCACCGAACTGTCTGGGGGTTTGCTTCCCTAGATCCTTGCCTTCATGTCTGTTTGGGTGAAGGAGGACATCTGGGTGTACCATGTGACTGTGCTCCAGTCTTGTTTCTGAATGCACCTTTGTCCTCTCCTCTGGCTCAAAGAAAACAAAGTTAGAGGAACTATTGTTTCTGTACTGGGAGAGCGTGCTGTAATTACTTGCTCTGTATATTTATGTTGCATAGTGGTGAAATCAGGTGCTTGTCAAAACATGAGATCAAAGAGATGGACATTTTTCTGTACGGATGGCAATTTTAATCCTTTTATTTACTTATTTTTTTAAAATAAATTTGGTTTTAGGTTCACTCAACACCTTTGTTGTCCACCTAAAATCCATGTTCCTGCTTGCATTTTACTGGGGGGGGGGGGGGGGGGGG